GCATTAATTCATCACTTAATTAGATTGGAATAAAACTTTGTCATGTAGAAAAAAAACCTACTTTTGTATCTACAAGCTCTAACTATATTTGATCAAAAATAATTAGTGTTTTATAATAAGTGTGTAGTTCGCGAAAAATGTTTTAAACTCTTCATTGACACTTTCCGGTGTTTTCTATTTTCCTAGTCCATAAAGTCTGATTTGACTCTTCTTTGAAAAACTCAGCACGATAAGTAGTGAGATCTTTTCACAAATTAAGAACTATTAATTGAATGAAAAGACAGTACAACAAATAAATTATACATAAAAATAATATTAAGACTAGGATATTTCTTATGTAAAGTATCATACAGAAATATGACAATTTATTTTAATTTATATTCGATAAATTACGAAAAGTAAAAAATTTATATACAAAAAAAAATATAAATTATAAGTAATTCACATTTATTATAAATGTAAATTATTTTGTTGCAGAATTTACATTTACAAATAAATGTAAATTATGATAATTTACATTTATTTGTAAATGTAAACCCTGTAACAAAATAATTTACATTTATAATAAATATAAATTTCTCATAATTTATATTTATTATAAATTAAACGATAAATGACACCCTAGACGGACGGATATTTTTCGAATAACTTTTGATAGGAGCAAGGTAGTGTGTTGCGGTTTTCACCATTAGAAAGAGAAGATCTAGACGCATCAACATATGCTAAAATCTGAGTGGTCAGCAATGGATCAATCGGATGCATTTTCGAGGGACTTACTGAGCACGGTACTTTGGACCCATTTTGGAACTTGGCTCAATTGTTAATTTACATTTTTAGTAAAAAAATTGTTCTCTTTCGATCTACGCATGGCCCATATTTCTGGCTTGTTCGGTTCAAGAGATACAAGGGTTTTCCTGAGACTCCTGATTTCAGCCAATTAACCATGGATTACCCAGAAAACAGTCTGGAATAGGGTAATTCACAAAGGAGAAACAACTGACTTTATGACTTAAATAATTTAAATGACTTTAGATGACTTTTTTTGACTTAGATGATCTGAAAGATTGAAAATTATTATTGTTTTTCATCACCTATCTTACTTTACATCCCATTATTATTTGAGACTTCTACATGTTACATTGAGAAATACCGAAAGCAGTCGTGGAGCCAAGATCCTTAGCATCTCATGCAAGGGGGAAGCAACTAACATTAGGATTTAAATGATTCAAATGATTTTTATGACTTAAATTGTCTGAAAGATTGAGAATCTCCATAGTCTATCTTCTTATATTTCGATTTGTATCTCATTATATTTCGAGAATTCGATTTTCACTATTTTTCTAACTTATAATATGCTAGGAGGTATTCAAGAGAACACTCATCCTTGTTTCTTGTTGGCTCATCGCTTTCAGCTTAATTGTTCAGCTGAACAACGCATAGACCAACTAGTCTACCGTTCGATTTGTTTCATAATATGTCTATCTTATCACCGCCTCTCGCAATATGTCGTTCTTGATTAGAAAACAACGTGATCTTCAACAATCACATTTGATGTCAAGTTCTGCAGCCACATGATATTTATATGAACAATAATGAAAATACACTTTACAATTAAACGAACATTCAACTTTCTATCAAAAAGTAGATGAATAAATATTATTAGAGAATCTGGTGATCATGAACACATGGGAAAACTAGAAATGAGAAAAGCGACGAACATTTTCAAACTGAAACTATTGAAAAACGAGACTAACAGAGAAACATATTCAACTGTAGGACGCTATTCGACTTCATGTTCTGATTATGAGTGGGACTCAGTGGAACTAAGAAAATCCTAGTCTAATTCGAAACCAATAGAGAATCTAGACAGGAGAGCAACGAAGTAATCGTTCCTTCTGTCAGAATTTTTATCGCCAACAATGAACAAAAATCTATTATCGGAATTTTAAAAGAAGACCATCGAGCAAAATGTTTATAACTATTTAACGAAGATAGCTAGGGCCCTGCAGCTTTCACCATTCGAAAGAGGAGACAGGAGACGCCTTTTTCTCTAATATTGTATAAGACGAAATCATTTAAAAATCAGTCATTTCTACAAAACATCGAAAAAATGGACAAAAACGGTCTGTTATTCAGATGAAATTTTGACAAAAATTAAGAAAATATGCTTAAAAGTTAAAAGAATTCCATACTTTTCGTGCGATTGAATAGCCGATTTTATTTGTTCAACATTAGGATGTGGAAAGATAATCATTCGAATTATATCTTGAATTATAGATCTGAAGTTCCTCTATCTAGATCAGATGTCAAAATCAAAATTTAATCTGAATGACAGACCGTTTTTGTACATTTTTTCGATGTTTTGTAGAAATGACTCATTATTAAATGATTTCATCTTATACAATATTAGAGAAAAGGGCGTCCCCTGTCTCTTCTTTCAAATGATGAAAACTGCAGGGCTCTAGCTATCTTCATTAAAAAGTTATAAACATTTTGCTCAATGGTCTCTTTTTAAAATTCCGATAATAGTTTGTACTAGATCGAATGGGTCTTCAAATTCATTTTTACTCATCACTCCATCGCTTCCAGAAACCTAAATTCACCATTGTTCGTGGCCATATTTTGTGGGTCAAGTGTTAGGACTCCTTTGGTAAATTTCATGCGTATCCGTAGGTATATTCATCGGAAATGTTGGATTGTGAATTTTACGTCTGCAATTTTGTTCTTACACAAGTCCGGTAGTTCATATAGCTTCCTGAAAGTATTAACTGCAACTTTGATGTTCTTTTGCTGTGATGTTGGATCGTCAAAACCTAATTATTTGTCAACGACCTCATAAGCAAACCGAGTTTACATGAATACTCACTATCTTAACAAAGCAATATTGTTGTTAGCTAAAACTTTTAGAATATTATCAAGTCTATGAAACGTATCTTAGATAAGAATGT